GGGGGGGGGGGGGAAGGGGAAACCGGCTGTCAGCGGTGAATTCAACTGAAAAAAGAAAAAGGGAAGCTGAAAAGAGGGATGCCTGGCAGGGGCAGCAGGCTGCGGGAGGCAGGTACAAGGCTTCCCATAAAGCCATCGGCGGGTAACAATGTATCAAGCGGGGATACAGCCCGAGATCGTCACTTTGCGGGCCCGGTTCTCCCATCGTTAAGGAGACAAGCCCACAGCAGGAGCGCGGGGTGGAGAGGAGGTGACCCGGGGTGTGGCGGAGAGCGGAAGGATAAAGCTATGGCTGTTTGCGGTGTACCCATGGTAAGAGACGTGGGACGCGCTTGTGTAATTCCCGGCCGAGGAGTAGAAATGGGTTTATTCTCAGTGAAGGTTGGCTGACAATGAAACTTTTCTTCCCTGGGAGAAAGGGTAATGCATCAGCAACAGGGCACCGGGCGCTGCATGTCTTGTGGGTGGGGAGAGAGGGTGGTGAAGGCATCACGGGTGGACCGGGCAGCGGGGCGGGAGACAAGCGGAGAAGCCAGAACGGGGACGTGGCTACAGAAGCACGCGTCGCAGGCCACGAGCGCGGATCCGCACGGGAGACTGTATGTTGGCGCGCGGCAATGCACCGTGCAAAGCAGCTGACTGCGGGCTTCCACCACGCCACTCGCATGAGAGTGAATTGACCTGGCGTGTAACGAGTCTTTGGTATAAAAAGGGTCATCGCACAAGAGCAAATTGGCACATACAGAACCCGCATCACGCGAGGGAAGCCCGTGCTGCGCTCCCTCCTGCAGCTGGGAGCAAAGGCCCCGCAGGTAGAGCACGCGCCGTTCCCCGCACTTCCCCAGCACAACCCCCCCAGAGAAACGATAGCATGACTACAGCATTAAACAAACAGACAAAAAGCATACTCTGAATCAGGCGAGAGAGACTTCTGGTCCTGTCCTGGGAGGCTATGGTACACAGGTTTGGAGAGTGGTCAGGAAGGAAAAGGAAGGTGCCACATACTCAGCTCAGAGCAGAAAATACAGATGGGGCTCTTCTTTTGAGCCTGTCATCTCACTTCAAGAGCAGCAGTACATTATCAAGGAGACACAGTACGATTTTCAGAGATTTGAGGTACTGAGGTTAATGGAAATCGTTCTGGAGCAAACAAAAGGAGGGAGCCTGGCGGGGAGCTGCAGAAGTCAGAGAGACTTGTGCGGACAGGAGGGATACAGGCATAAGAGAAAGAAAGTCTTCCCATATTTCACATTTTTTAAGAATTGTTTTTGTATTCCAAGTCAAATCAAGTCCGAATCCAAGAGTCAGTCCAGAACCATATGTGGCCCTACAACCGGGCCACCTGGGGCTTTAGATGTTCCCAAATCCTTTGGCGGGCATCCTACGTGCAGGCCCAAGCCCAGAGGCTCAGGGTTTGGATGCCCCTGGGGTTTGCTTGCCCTCAGCCGTACGGCTGCAGGAGCAAGTTAGGCCTTCCCTTCTTTCACCTGTATGGACTTTGGCTCCTCTGCCAGGGGTTTCCCTGCTGCTTTTCTGGTCTGGGCTCTCCATCATTGACCTCTCCTCCCCTGCCAAGCTATGGGGAAACATTTCCCCTGTCCTTGCTCTTTGCCTTGGCGAATGTCATGCATGTCTTGTTGTGAGGAATTCAAATCAATCAGCTCCAGTTTGTCTCCAGAAAGTGGAGACCCCAGGCAGGATTCAGCCCTAGAGCTTGGCCAGGACACCGCAGGACGGGGAACGGCGCAGGGAAGGTTGTCAATGAAGCACTCTGCCTGAGACTGCTTCAGGCAGACTGCGGGGGAGAGGAGATCAAAGGTGTTGGATTTTTCTTTTGAAAGCCCCCAAGTCCATGACACAAACACTGGAAGGGAAAATTCTTCTGGTTTTCCAAAAGTGTCTCTGGGAAAAACAAAGAGCCCTGGGCGGCTGGCAGGAGCAGAGTGGGGGGGCCCTGCCCCCCCCCCCCCCCCCCCAACCCTGCGGCACCCACCTGCAGGAGCTCCCTGCCCCGCCTGCCCCACCACTGATACTGCTGTGG